CCTGAATCAAGCTCAAATTTCTCAATGATGTTTTTCCTAAAATTGCTGTTTTCCACTTCATTGAAAAACTCAGAATCACGATTGCCTTTTTCACTCATTTTAATTCTCTTTTAACGCCAACTACCCTTAACAGAATTTTTGATATTCACTGTCTCAGTTAAACTCTCCTTGACATCCAAACCTCCCTCAAAACTCTCCATTTTCCAATCCCATCGAATAACCAGATTCCTTCAACATTGAACTCTTCCTCAAGGACTTCAATATGTGACATGGTCAAAAGACTAAACAAGCACAACACTGCAAAAATTTTGAAAAGCAAATTATTAAAACCGCCAAACAAAAAGTGAAAAAAGAGTGTTGCACTTGTTCCTAAAAAAGAGGCTATATCTGAATTTCGAAATGTCAAAATTCATTGCTCCACTGCCGCCTTCAATTTTATATCCTTAATCAATATTTTTCCCAAGTGCTCTNAATTTAGACAGAGACAGGAATGTGTGGCATGGTGACAGCTTAGCAGCGTGCATCCGTGCATGCGGATGGAGGCACGTACGCTGGTGCCCGCATACAGCATGCCTCTGTGTACGCGGACAGAGGCACGAGCGTGCCTCTATGCATGTAGACGGAGGCACGTCAAGCCTCCGTTCGCGTGCATGGAGGCACGCTACGCGCGGTGTGCCTCCGTGGACGCTGACGGAGGCATGTCGTGTCTCCGGCCGCATGCACGGAGGCACGTTGTCGCTGCCTTAGCAGCATGCCTCCGTGCACGCGGACGGATGATGGATCAAAATTGAACTCAATTTCTTCGTTTCAAGAATTATTATTTCCTCGTAAAATTAAATTTCATATCAAACTAAGAGAAGAGCTACCTGATTTGATTTTGACTGTGAAAGAGATGAAGCAAAGATAAGAAGAAAGTGAAACTCCATGCTGAGAAATCAAATCCAAAGTAAACAAGTCAAACATGCCGGTAAAATTCAATTTCAACAATTACCAATTAAATTAACTAAAAATCCAAAAAAAAATATGCAGTTAAATTGAGTTTAAGAATGACAATAGATTGGTGGTAATAGAAAATACATTTACAGCAAAAAATTGAAAACTATTGAAAAACAATTGGCATTAAAATACCTTATTTCAATTACTATTTTGAGCAATTCCTTTCTCAATCCCAAACGTCGAAAACTTCGAATCTTGCAAAAACAAGGTTGGGTGAAAAAATTAGAGCATCATTTAGAGAGAAGGGAGAAAAAAGGGAACCGTAACTACCCAAAACCCGAAAATATAATCCAAACCTGAGGTATTCCAATGAGGTTGCGTGGGAAAATGGAGGAAAATGGAGGAGGAGTGGTTGGTTGCGAGAGATAATGGAGAAGCAGGACTGGGGTGTGGGAATTTTTGAGAATTTTTTTTCAGAAAAGGGGATTTTTGACGAGACGGGAAATGACGACACGTGTAACCTTTGCTTCGCCTCTTTTAATAAATAGTGATGAAAAAAATTGGCATTAAAATACCTTATTTCAATCACTATTTTGAGCAATCCCTTTCTCAATCCCAAACGTCGAAAATTTCGAATCCTGCAAAAACAAGGTTGGGTGAAAAAATTAGAGCAGCATATAGAAAGAAGGGAGAAAAAACGGAACTATAACAACCCAAAACCCGAAAATATAATCCAAACCTGAGGTATTCCAATGAAAGGTTGCGTGGAAAAATTGAGGAGGAGTGGTTGGTTGCGTGAGATAATGGAGAAGCAGGACGGCAGTGTGGGATTTTTGAGATTTTTTTTTTTATAAGGGGATTTTTGACGACGATGGAAATGACGACATGTGTGACATTTGCTTCGTCTCTTTCAATATATAGTGAGTTATTTATTTATACATTTTTTTTTTTGAAAAATGACATAACAACTCTTCAAACTAATTATTATTAATTCTCAACCGGAGAAAATAGATAATAAAAACGTATAAGATGGTATTAGTTGTAGTCTACTCTACTAATGATGTCTTGTATAAAAATGTAAGATTTGATATAGTTGATTTAAAAATGTAGGCTATATGGTCCACTTAGAGCATCTTCAATGGTAGTTTAATTTAGTATCTCCAAAACTACTTTTGTATCCTTATTTACATCACGTTGATCTAAATCCATTTTTTTTTTTGCCTCTTGTGGATATGCCAGAAAATGCGATTTGCATTTCATTTCCATCTCCCCATTGAAGAGGGTTTTGATTACTTTGGAGATCTAAATCACAATTTAAATTATTTTATATCCCAACTGAAGATGCTCTCACGATTCATTCTCGTATTTAAATTTTGCCTCCGAACTCTATGCCCCATTATCCCTTTCTATGGTGGTACTGGTAATCTTGGCACAAATTTACAGTCTTGTACAATTTTCTTCCTAATAGATTAGCTCATTATTAAGAACTTGTCTAGAGCAGCTTTTCAGGGGATAAAAATCAATTTTTGGACTGTTGCAAGCCAAAACCAGCCATCTCCGTTGACTTTTGCTCTCACATTAGGTCCCTCCTGACAATTAAACAGTCAAAAAAGTGCTAATAATTGAGGAGAAAAAGCTCCACCAAACAAAGTCTAAGTTGTACTTGAAAAGCCTGTAGCTACAAAATAATTACAGATCTCGGTAGACAAAGGTCATGCCATAGAGACGGATCTCAATGTAATTCAACAAATGTTCATAGAATCACAAATCTTGGAGACCTTATTCTTGAGCAGCTGCGTTGAATAAACAAGTCTAACCTCTAAAACTTGGCCTGAATCACATCAATAGTCTTGTTATCCACTTGGAATGACTTTGCAAGAAGATCGTTAGGAATGGCTGGATTTGATCCAAAGACAGCATTTGCAACTGTAATAACGCCAGGGTTTTGGCTGCTAAGAGCTGCAATAGCGACTGCATTGCCATGTACATTATTACGTTGAAAGTGGACAAGACCTTCTGGAAAAACAAAAATATCACCCTCTTTTAGTACTTTTGTGAAAAGCTTGTTTTCAGGATTAGAGGCGACAAATCCCACTTCCAGACGCCCTTCAATTACTGTCAGAATTTCAGTTGCTCGAGGGTGCGTGTGGGGAGGGTTGATGCCTGATGGTGCATAGTCTATACGCGCCATGGAGATTCCAAGAGTGTTGAGTCCTGGAATTTGAGCAATATTTACTGGAGTTACTTTTGATCCTACAGGGTTTGATGTGTCCCTGGGTAAGTGAAGTCCACTGAAGAAGAAATCATTTGCTTGTGCAAGTTTCGGATCCTTGCACGCCTGGCCATTCACCAATACTGTGCATAGTGCAACAAAAATAACTGAACATATATAAAACGGAAGGGTGCCTGATACTAGTAGTGATAACCACTTGTGGTGGAACTCACTCTTAAAACCGGTTTATGAGGGGGAGATGCCCACTTGGTTGTAAACCCACAAACTTAGTCTTAGTCACATGATGTGGGATACAATTAGGATCATTACCATAACAAAGCGTAAAACGGTAAATTGATAGTAGAAAACCTTGAAAAGTTTCAATTTTTTGTTTACATACCATCTTCACTTGATGCAAAATTAATCAAGCCTTCCATTATTTGAATACCTAAAACCTTCATCCAAGAACCTGCAATCAATTTCCCATTATTTATTCCCTGCTAAAGGCTGATCGTTCGGTTAGAGTGTTTGATTATCTCTTTTCTTCTTTGAAAGAACGACCTTGTTTCAAAATATTTATTCTTAGTGAATCACACTCATGTCTAGTACTACGTATCAAGTATAGAGAAGCAGAATAGTTATAATGTATATATTATACCTGGGCCGTAGGGATAAGAAACACAGAAATCCTGAAGAGGACTCGAGTCGGAAGCTATGGAAACTGAGCAAGTTGCAATCAAGAGCCCTAACAAAAGAAAAGCGGATGCCATACTTTTCTTCAGTTTCTTGGTTATATTGTGGACAAATAAATGTTTGCAAGTATAAGTTTAATATATAGAATAATTGCAACAAGTAATTTTGTAATTATCGAGCTTAATTAATTAGTTTCTATGTTGCAGGACTGCAACTTGTGTATATTCTAATTGTGCCTTCATGGCGTCATTAAACTTTGACGGTAATTTTAATAGTCACTTCGTAAATTCTTGTTAGATAAAAATTCGAAATATCCATTAAATATAACGAAAGTTTGATATGACAATTTACTTAGCAAAAATACTGTCAATTGAAATGCACATCAGAAAACAAAGTAACAAATTAAAATGACTCGAAATGAAAATTAAATTCAAATAAAATTAAAATTAAGAAAGGATAAAAGCTATAAACATAAGACTAAACAAAATAAAATAAAATAGAATAAAAGTTGTAATGAATATTTTCATGTACATAATGTAGATTAAAACAAATGTCCTTCGTTAGAATAATAACAATTTCTCGACCACTATTACCCTTCAATTTTTGAAGCACTTGCAAGTCGTTTTTGGCTAAAAAGGTAAAAGAAGCACTAAATTTAGCTTAGCTAGCACCTTCAACAGCCAGTGGGACAAATGCAAGAGATTCGTAAACAAGTCCATCTAAAAGCCTAGCAGAAGACAGAAAGAGCTTCCAACAAGGAAAGCAAAGATAGTACATACCATAGGGACTTTGTTGTCGATTTTATATCCTCCAAGCGTACTCATCGTAACAATTAATATAGCGGATCTATGAATCTGGAATATCTTTCCCACGAGAACTACTATCTAACAATTGATTAAATTGTTCCTAACTCCAATTTGATTGAAAACAAATAGAAGGTGTTTATTTTACTTTTGTGATTTTTATTTTAAATATATGAAAACAATAAAAGTCATGAATTTTTTTTATATGATGACTTAAGTATTAGGATTAATGATTTCACCATAGCTATTCTCTTAATCTTAATCTTAATCTCAATCATCAAATCTTATAATGATTTATTATGTTTATCCAGTCGAATTCTTCAAACGTATTTAATTAGCCTCTATTGAGTTCAAATTGATTCTTTTTAACTAAATCAAATCCATATTTCTATGTGAATCCGGATACACTTTAACTAAACACCTTAAATCTATAAAAATCCATGTAATGACCACATTAACTAGAAAATATATCTCCAAACTTTGATACTAGTTTTCAATTTTTACTATGTGATCTAAACAAA